AAAAATAAAAAACAAGGAGTATTTTTAAAAGAAATGAAAAATGATTGTAAAGGTGTAATATTAAATTTGGTGCAGGTGGGAATTTCATCCGGTGCAGCAGCAGCAGCTGCAATTAGGATCGCAAAACGGCCTGAAAATGCTGGGAAGCTCATTGTTGTAAGTCTTTGTCTGCTTCTTTTTTTTTGTGTGTATTAATGAAATTGTAAAACTCTAAACACGGTAAAGCTATTTGGAACAGAAAAATATACTTGAAACTTCAGCAGAAGTATATTTCATTGACTGCTGTTTCGAGGGACAGTGTTTGAAATGACATTTATGGCCCAAAATACAAACCCCTATCTTAACTAAACTTACGAGTATCTTTATACTACAGATCAGTATTCACCTTCAATTCTGGTGTAGTGTAAGGAACTTAATGGAGATTGCAAGTAATCTCATAATCTCACCAAGAAGAGAAAGGAAAGAAAAATGAAAGATAAAGTCAAGAAAAAAAATGAACCGTATAACCAAATCCCTATTCCACCGTATAACCAAATCCCTATTTCACGAGTTTTCGATTCTGAAGTCATCTCATGTAGAATAAGTGATTATGAGCTTCTTCTGGCAATCAATTTAGTGGAAAGTGTGTGTTTCTTTCTTTTCAATGGCATTAATGAACTAAAACTTGCAGGTTATCTTCCCTAGCTTTGGCGAACGTTATCTTTCCTCTGTACTCTTTGAGTCGGTTAGACACGAGGCCGAGCACATGACTTTTGAGCCGTGAACTGGTGTTTACAGCGAGAAGACTATGGTTCCTTTTTCTTTCTAAGTGTGGGATCGAATAATGTGAAAAGGCTCGTTTTTTCGAGTGTTCGCACATTTGAAAATTGTATCAGTTGAAATTCTGTTCTTTCGCACTTGGTATATCATCCACTTTGCTTGTGTTGAGTCCTTTCCATTTCTGCGGACAATAAAATTATTTGCTGTAGTTATTTCTCTCTATTGTATTCTGTGTGTTTTTCTAAATGAAGAGGATGGATTAATTCTCCAATTAATCCTCTTTTTTCCTAAGAAAAAAGGCATCAAATGTTGTTTGTGCTTATAGGAAAAAAAAATAAAAAATGTAGATTGAACAATTACCTCAAAATGAAAAATGTTAAAGAATGCTTAATATAATACCTGGAAGAAAAAAAGCAAGGTTTAATGTAAAATGTCAATTCGTGATAAATATGTTTTTTTTTTTATTGAAGTTATACTGGGTTTTTAAGTTTTGGTAAAATTTAAAATTTTCTTAGCAAAAATTGACTGGCACAACATTTTACTACTATATTCTAATTGAAGTTTCTTTCTTTCTTTCTTTTTCTTTTT